CCATCGGACTTACTAAACCCAGAGTCTGCTTGAGATTCTCTCTCCCTTTCCCTCTGCCCCTCAGCCTCAGGCTCGCTCTCTCACAAATAAATAAATAAATCTTAAAATTAAAATATCAACAAAGCATTTCAAAAGATAGGCCCAAAAAGGAAGAATTAGACAAAATTAATCAAGGAGTAACATGGCATCAACATATATCCACTGAAATAAAATTTCTCTGACTTTTTTGTTTTGAAACAATTGAAAAAACAAATATCCTTCCCCCTCAACTCTCACTCCCATTGTTTCACATCTAAACTGCTACAGTTTTAAGCCTGACAAAACCAAGGATTATGAAGTGTATGAATAAATGGGAATTTGCTGGTGATAATATAAATAGGTGCATCTACTCTGAAGAACAATCTGGCCACATTTGGTAAAGCTGACAAAGCATATACCCTAACTTCTTATATCCCAAGGAAACATTTGCATGTGTATACATGAGCAAAAGAATACATAAACAAGGATGTTTACTGAAACTTTGACATAAAAAAAGAAACTTTGATATAGCGAAAAACTGGATAACCAAAATGCCCATCCATGGTTGAGAATGAATAAATCAATTCTTCATATAATACAGCAGTTTGATGAATTTACTCAAAAACTGAGTGAAAAATGTTGAAGATATACAGAATATATTGTTTAAAAGATATGGTTATGATCTTATCAGAACTGTTATAATGTATACTATTAGTAGAAATAGAAAATAATGGAATTATGTACCAGTTTAATGGAAATTTTATTATTTAATTTAATATTGTACCATCGTTAGCAATCCCACTTGATATTCACCCCCAAATAAAGAGAGATGAGCTAGAAACATCTTAACAAGTTACTCATTCCATTCTATATTCTTACTGAGGAAATCAATTTCAATATGAAGACAGGGGTAATATATTTTATTTCTTCAGCTATTTCTTCAGCTGACAAGGAGATAGTAATGATAGCAAGCCACATACTCGTAGAAAAAGTGAGAAAGCAAAAAATAAACAATTGTGTGAAGTCAGGTATCAGTACCACAAAGTAAGATTAGCAAATTTTTAAATTTGTGGAGATGAAACAACACACTCTTAACCAATGGAACAAAAAACAAATCATAGAAAACACTTAAAAACAAGTGAAAACAAACAAAATACCAAAACTTAGAGGACACAGTGAAAGCAATGTAAAGGGATGTAATGTAAATGCTTACATTAAAAAGCTAGAAGGATCTCAAATCAACAACATAACTTTACAACTTAAGAAACTAGAAAAACAAGAACTAAACCCAAAGCTAGCAGAAGGAAATATCACAGGTATATTAAGTAGAATACTTAAAAAAAAAAAAAGACAGAGAGAAAAAATTAATGAAACCAAAAGTTGGTCCTTAGAAAAAATCAACAAAATTGATCATTCTTTAGCTACATTGACTAAGAAAAAAGAGGAGATCCAAATTACTAGAATAAAAAATGAAAGTATAGGACTACTAATTCTACAGAAATTTAAAGGATTATAACAGAGTACTATGAAAAATATACACCAACAAATTAGATAACCTAGATGAAATGGGAAAATTCCTAGAAACAAAAAGCCTACCAAGACTAAGAAACAGAAAACCTGAATAGGCCTGTAACTAAATGGTAAGGAGACTAATTTGATAATCAAAAGTTTCCTGAGAAAGAAAAGCCCTGGATCTGAAGGCTTCACTGGAGAATTCTATCCAACATTTAAAGAACACCAATCCTCAAATTTTTCCAAAAAACTGAACAGGAATGCTTCCCATTTCATTCTATGAGGCCAGCATTACCCTTACACCAAATCCAAAGATTCTACAAGAAAAGTACAGAAAAGTATCCCTTATAAATATTGATGAAAAACCCTCAAGGATTGGCAAAAAGAATTCAGCAGCTATTAAAAAGATTATACACCATAACAAAGTGGAATTTATTCCTGGATAGCAAGGATGTCTCAACATATGAAAATTGATCAATGTAATATACCACATTAACAGAATGAAGGGAAAAACCATGATCATCTCAACTGATGCAGAAAAAATATTTGACAAAATTCAAAACTTTTTCACAATAAAAGACACTCAACAAACTAAGAGTAAAAAGCAGCTAGGTAACTTGAAAAATCTACAGCAAATATATGCAATGGTGAAAGACTTTAAGATCAAGAACAAAAACAAGGATGCCCACTTTCACTACTTCAGTATGGAAGTTCTAGCCAGAGCAATGAGACAAGAAAAAAGTGATATTAGGCAACCAAATTGAAAAAGTAAAATGATCTCTCTTTACAGATATTATCTTCTATGCAGAAAACCCTGAAGACTACATATACAAACTGTTAACATTTATTTGCTAATAAAAAATTCAGCAAGTAGCAAAGACAAAGCCAACACACAAAACTCAACTGCATCTCTACATACTAACAATAAATAATCTGAAAACTTAATTCTTTTTTTAAAAAAAGATTTTATTTATTTATTTTGAGAGAGAGAGAGAGCATGAGTGGAAAAGGAGGGGCAGAGAGAAAAGCAAACTCTGCACTGGGCTGAGATGCTGATGTAGGGCTCCATCCCAGGACTCTGGGATCATGACCTAAGCCAAAGGCAGATATTTTAACTGACTGACCCACCCAGTGCCCCTACTAAAACAATTCTAAGAATAAAATACTTAGGAATTAACTTAAGCAAGGAGGTGAAAGACTTATACAATGAAAACCACAAGACATCGTTGAAATAAAAGAAAACATAAATAAATGGAAATACATCCCATGTTCATGGATTGGAAAACTTAATAGTATTAAGATGGCAATAGTATGCAAACCAATCTACAGAATCAATGCAATCTCTATCAAAATCCCAATGACTTTTTTTGCAGAAATAGAAAAACTCATCCTAAAATTCGTATGTATTCTCAAAGGAGAGTCAAAATCCTGAAAAAGAATAGTCAAAACACATTCTTGAAAAAGAACAAAACCAGAGAACTCAAACTTCTAGATTTCAAAACTTACTCCAAACCTACAGTCATCAGGGGCTCCTGAGTGCTCAGCCAGTTAAGAGTCTGCCTTGCTCTGCCTTCAGTTCAGGTCATGCTCTCAGGGTCCTGGTATCAAACCCCTACTCGGCTTCCAGCTCAGCAGCGAGTCTGCTTCTCCTTCTCCCTCTACCCTTCTCCCCTGCTCATGAACCCATGAGTGCATGCTCTAATAAATAAATAAAATCTTAAAAAAAACAAAAGCTACAGTCATCAGAACAGTATGGTATTAATATGGCATAAAGATCAATGGAGGGATCCCTGGGTGGCGCAGCGGTTTGGCGCCTGCCTTTGGCCCAGGGCGCGATCCTGGAGACCCGGGATCGAATCCCGCATCTGGCTCCCGGTGCATGGAGCCTGCTTCTCCCTCTGCCTGTGTCTCTGCCTCTCTCTCTCTCTCTCTCTCTCTCTCTCTCTGTGTGTGTGTGACTATCATAAATAAATAAAAATTAAAAAAAAAACAAAACAAAAAAGGAGACAATAACAAGTGTTGAAGAAGAGGTGGAGAAATTGGACCCCTTGGGCACTGTTGGTGGGAATGTAAAATGGTGTATCTACTATGGAAAATAATACGGCAGTTCCTCAAAAAACTAAAATACAATTACCATATGATCCAGCAATTACACTTCTTGGGCTCAAAAAACTAAAATAGAATTACCATATGATCCAGCAATTACACTTCTTGGGTATATATCCAAAGAATGGGAAGCGGGGTCTTGAAAAGATATTTGCACACCATGTTCATAGCAGCACTATTTGCAAGAGTTAACACATGGAAGCAACCCAAGTGTCCTATTGATGGATGAAAGGATAAGCAAAATGTGCTATATATTTACATACACGATGCATCATTATTCAGGCTTAAAAAGTAAGGAAATTCTGACATTTGTTACAATGTGGATGACCCTTAAGAATGTTATGCTAAGTGACCATCACAAAACGACAAATACTGTATGGTTCCACTTATTTGAGGTACTTAGAATAGTCAAAACCATAGAAACAAAGTAGAATGATGGGGCTGAAGAAGGTAAGGGACAGGAAGTTACTGTTCAATGCATACAATTTTTAGTTTTACAAGACAAAAAGAGCAATAGGGATGTATACTGGTGATGGGTGCGTAACAGTGTGAGAATGTATGTAGGGCCACTAAATCACACATTTAAAAGTGATTAAGATGGTAAATTTTGTTATATACATTTTGTACAATAAAAGCATTTCTAAAGAAAATTATCATGAAATTAGCTGTAACCTAAAAGATTTTGCCAAAAACAAGTCATAAAGCAGGACGTTCCATATTATAGAACACTTTCAAAATGTATGTATACCCAATGTCTTGGTTTTTAAATTACTGAACACATAAACTTTGATTATCAATTCCTTTATAACTTTACATACAAATATTGGATGTTCTAAAGAAAAACATGAGGAAAAATGATTTTCTCTTTCCAGGCTAAAAATGCCTACTTAAAATTAAGTACCTATAATATTAAGCTTTCACAGTAACAAGCTATAAACTTATCCATAGCTATTAAGTCCTAAGGAAAGAGAGTTGTTTTGTCCTCAAAGACCGTAAAATAAACTAATGTTAAAAATCTTAAAATACGGGGATCCCTGGGTGGTGCAGCGGTTTGGTGCCTGCCTTTGGCCCAGGGCACGATCCTGGAGACCCAGGATCGAATCCCACGTTGGGCTCCTGGTGCATGGAGCCTGCTTCTCCCTCTGCCTATGTCTCTGCCTCTCTCTCTCTCTCTCTCTCTGTGTGACTATCATAAATAAATAAAAATTTAAAAAAAAAACCTAAAATCAATTTAAAAAATAAATAAATAAAATAAAATAAAATCTTAAAATACGAAAGTTTTTTTTTTTTAGATGAACATTGTCCTGATGGATTGAAAAGAACAACCAGGTGATAAATATTTTATAGACTAGAAGAATTCTTACCTGGGAGATTACCCTTTGAGATGGTGTCTGTATCCAAATTGTAGGTGTCCTGTAGTCGCAACAGAGCTTTCGCTGCCCCAACCTGATCTTCATCATTAGGGAAATACTGTCTCTGAATGGTTAGGTTAGAGATAAAGCCTTGAAATAAGAAAAAAAGAAAGAAAAAAGGAAAAAAAGAAAAAAAAGACTCTAGAACCTCACAGACTTCCAATTTGCAATATAGAGTGTTTATAAGGATTTTTCAAAATTGATTTTATTATAATTTTCTACCATACAAGTTCCACACACTCAACAAGAAAAAAACTAAATACACTGAATGAGACTTGAAATACCTCTAACTTATTCAATCTTCCCAAGTTCTAATGTTGCTTAAGTAATCTGAAGTCACCACATAAACCGTATCTGAATTAGGTAAAAGATCAACATGATAATTGGAAGCAACCCAAGTGTCCTATTGATAATTGATATGATAATTGAGTTTTTAATTACACTAAGCTTGAAAATGAATGGATTTATGATTTGAAAATGACATCCACTGGCAACCAATTATACTTTCAAATAACAGATGGTAAGTAAAATGTATGCACTTAAAGTTCTATATTCTTCTGCATGTACCACACATTATGTAAACATGTAAATATATAAAGTTTGGTGGAATTCTTTGAGGGGGAAAGAGAGATATTAATTATATATTTAAGATAATCAAGTGAGCTTGTTTATTAAAATATATTTAGATATATTAAGTTATGGAATATAGTGATCAAGATTTGCTCTCCATAAAATCTGATCTTAATTTTAAAAGGTTTTATATAAAATATAGCAAAAACCAAATTAACAAACTAATTACTGCCTAAGGAGAATGGTTGCTAAATACTCTTTAAGGAACCAAAAAAGACAAAAACAAAAAGTAGTTTAAAATTTTAATGTAAGTGTCATCACTGGCAAATAAAAGTTAGGTATTAAACTTCCCTCCCCTCTCAGTTACTTATAATCAACTATGTGGATTTTGATCAGCAAAAGGCCAGGCATTTTTATGTTAATGAAAATGTACAAATGAACAATTAGCTAGGAGAGGGCTAAACCTCATATCAAGCATTTTTTTTTTAGTTTTAAGACCAACTCTTAGTCACAATGTCCACATGGAATTTTACAAGTTTGGCAGATTTTTTTATGACCCAAAATAAAATCCAAGAATTGCTTAAATGCTCTCCAATAAAAAAGAGGAAAAATATATGTATTACAGCATTATAAGGATGATTACCACAGATTAAAACATCAAGTCCCAAGACTTACCTTATAAAAGAATTTAGGTCATAAACATCATTACTTGAGAATTGTTTTAAATTAATAAATGTGTGTGCACACACACACATACAAGACTTTAAAAATGTTCTCATGGTGCTATATATGAGCAAATAATCATTGATATTTCCTTCTCACCATGAAGAAGTTTTCACAAGTGCTTGCCTTAATTTTCCTCAAGGCTTTCTGTACTATGTGCAATAGTTTACTGCTCACACTCATAAACACTCAAGAGTATTTTCATTTACATAGCTAGCTCAGTTCTTTCCCTCTTTCTTGCATTTTTTCTTTCTACCTTCAGTCACTAAGTATTTGAGCCATTACTATGTCTAAGCATATTCACTCTAGTTCTTAAACTCCAGGCTTAGTTTTCTGTATCTGTTACTAAATTATCTAAAACACCTCACTATTCTAATTTTGTTTTAATTAGAAAGACCTTCATTGTTAAAGTTTGCAGTCTTAGTTTTTAAATTTATTGTCTAAGTAAAACAAATCTAAGATTCAAAATACTATCTAAAACACAGCTAACACTCTTCCTAATAGTACCAGTCCCAATACATTAACAATTGATAAAAGAGAGATTTACTCATAAATTTTTGAAGTCTGAAGGTAATCCTAAAATGGAAAGGATAACCCCCAGATATGAAGCTATATGTCAAGTAATTGATTTGCTTTTGTAAATTTCAAAGCAAAAAAAAATGACAGTGCTAGCCTCCAACAAATCACTTTTTTACACTAAAGTTTTATTTTTGTTTCCAGTTTTTCTTCCCTTTCTTTTTTTAAATTAAGGAATTTAGAATCTAGACTAACTCCAGTCAAACCAAACACACCCCTGCAACAATTCAGTTACAACACTAAACACTTGATGTTCTGGGAAATGAATTTATTAGTATTGGCGTTTCCACACATGACAGTAATACTGTCTTAACTATTTTTGCCTCCTTAGTCTTACCATCTGACTTACCATCTGACATATCCTTAAGGACCAGATTCTCCAACTCACTCCATTCAGTGTTCAGACGTTTCATTAATTTGAATGCATTTACAGGGTGCCCAACAAATCCTTCTGGATCTTTTGTTGCTGTGCTGGTTAGTCGATCTAACTTCTCTGCCCATCTATACACATAAGACATTAAATGGAGCACATATACACTTACTAAGGAAGAACACAATTTCATAAAAACACTCAGAAAAATAAAAAAGACTAAATTAGAGGTTTTTGAGTGAAAACTAAATTCAAAAATTCTTTTTAAAATAAAATTATAGGTTTTTTAAAAAGCAAGACTGTTATGGGTAAAATCTAGCTTGGTAGAATCAAAATATAACAAGTCTTTTTCTTTTAGTTTTGTTTCTCTCAAATGGTTACAGTAAATAAAACCGATCTTAGAAAAGGTGTGACTGGATCCCTCAAGTAAGGGTCTAAAAATTCATCTCTCCACAGGTCCTTAAAGATAACTAGTTATTGTAAGGTACAGATTAGCCCAATCAAAATTCAGTTACAGGTTAATTTAAATCAAACTTAAACCAAAATTTTACATTCAGTACCTAAGACTATGTTTTAAAACAAAAACAAAACAACTCTCTGAATATTCAGTTTCTCACTAAATAAAAGGCAGGAATTCACAGGTCAGGATTAACTTTGAATGTGAGTCAGTTAAAAATAAATCAGCAGTTAAGGAAAAACCATATCAATTAAATAATTAACAATACTTACCACTGTAATCTCTAGAATACAACCATAGGAGTGAAGATAAATAGAATTAGAAAAATGCTCTAAAAGATGACTTGATTAGGGAGGTTAGAGGAAGATGTTAGCAACCACTTTTAGAAATTGTCAGTCAACACCCATTCCCATTTATATCCTTATCTCAATCCACATTCCTCTATCTAAATTCTTGGCCCAGGCATAACTCTTGTTTCCTGTGCTCCTATTTTAGCCATTCCAACCAACTTTAAAGACAGGTGGCTTCTATTTCCACCTGTTTTAGCTCTAGAACAAAAACATCCAGGTGGGATCAGAATCATAGAAAGTAGAACACTTTGCTTACTTTTTTATTTGTTCTAATTTGTCCTCTTCTGCCTTAATATATTCTTTCAGAGAAGTCACCAGATCTTTCTCAGTATGGATCAAATCAGTCATCTGACCTAGAAGGAAGAGAAGGGAAGGTTATCAAATATCTACATTGGTCAACACAAGTATTTTAGAATGACTTAAAATGATCAAGAATGTTTCATTCTTTGAGAAGAGTTAACTGTTAATAAACACAGATATGTTGAAGAAGACATCTTTTTTATATCATTTTATATCCTGAAATTAGAGGTCATAAATTTAATACCCATATTTCAGTAAGCACTACGATCACACAAGGGTAAAATTGGTTAACAGCATGAAGGAAAATATCTCATTTAAGGCAGATGAGTGTGCATAGAGTAAAATATAAAAGGATACACATCAAACATAAAAAATATTCCTGGGGAAAAGAGGACATGTGGAAGTCTTACTTTGTTTCTTCTTTAACCAATATGCTATTTTAAATAGTAATATTTACAAAGATTTCGTATAAAATGAAAAAATGACATATAATTTCGGGTATTAAATTTATGGCATCTAATTTCGGGATATAAAATGACATCTTCTTATAAATAACTAAACATGAATGATTTGAACTTCATTGGTGAAGTATACCGTTTGTTAGTGTGGTTTTAGTTTATTGAATAAAAATTTCTAAATTCTAATTAGTCTCAAGAACAAAAAAAGGTGAGAGCCGAGGTAGGGAAAAAGAAAAAGTAGTGTTGTTTTATAATTTAAAAATAAATTTTTTGATGAATTTGCCAATATTGTCCGACTTGCAAAATGAAGTAGACTTAAAATTAGAATTGGAATGGCTAAAATAGGAGCACAGAAAACAAAAGTTATGCCTGGGCCAAGAATTTAGGTAATTTATAATTTTTATTTAAAAAAATTTAAATGCAAGAACAATACAAAGCAAAAACAGACTTACCAATTGAAGTAAAGAAGCCTGGATGTGCAAAAGACTGGGGAAGTAGAACCCCTACAATTAAAATATACCACATCATCTTGGAAAACTTAATTTTTCAGGTTTACACACCTACAAGAGAAATATGGCCATTACAACAAAAAAAAAAAGTAGGATAGGTAAAGTTCCTAACTGATTTTTCCTATGAACAAAATAGAAGTCAGACACTAACGTTGCCCATAGACTGTTAATTCTTGTAAATTGATTTAAATAATGTAATTAATAAGAGCTACTATCTTATTTTTCCATATAACTAGAGTACTAACTTTATATTTCATGTTAAAAAAATATGTTTGTTATCACCTGATAATTAATGCTTAAAAATTCAACCGGTTTGTTTTCTCCTTAGTTACTACTATTAGAGTGATTAGATAGTAATTCATACATCCTGAAAAATAAGTTTTCTCTGTTATCTACATCTAAACCATGAATGTCCCATAAAAATGACTTCATTAAAGTAATTTAAATATTACCAAAATACAATCTAATGTATTCTCCATCTTATATGTTAGAATATGTTCTAAAGGGGAAAAAAAGGTTTTAGAGCCACTGATTTATCCTTTAAATTCCTTTTTTTTTTTTTCTTTTAAAGATTTATTTACTTATTCATGAGAGAGGCAGAGACAGGAAGAGGGAGAAACAGGCTCCTCACAGGGAGCCTGATACAGAATTCAATCCCGGATCCCAGGATCACGACCTGAGCTGAAGGCAGGTGCCCAACCGCTGAGCCACCAGGCATCCCTATCCTTTAGTTTCCTAATTTGTTCCATCCTTTTCTTACATGGCTTTCAATTTTAAAATAAGTTCAACTAAAAGTTGTACATTCTCAGGGTGCCTAAGTGGCTCAGTTGGTTAAGGGTCTGACTCTTGGGCAGCCCGGGTGGCTCAGCCATTTAGCACCGCTTTCAGTCCAGGGCACGATCCTGAAGACCTGGAATCGAGTCCCACATCAGGCTCCCTGCATGAAGCCTGCTTCTCCCTCTGTGTCTCTGTCTCTCTCTCTGTGTGTCTCTCATGAGTAAATAAATAAAATCTTAAAAAAAAAAAAAAAGGTCTGACTCTTGATCTCAACTCAGGTCTTGATCTCAGAGACATGAGCTCAAGCCCTGTGTTGGGCTCCACACTGGGCATGGAACCTACTTAAAAAGTTGTAGATTTTCGGGCAATGAAAAAGTTCTAAAATTGACTGTGGTGAGTGATGGTTGAAGAACACTGTAAAAGTACTAAACACCACTGAATCATGACCATTAAATGGGTGAATTGTATGGTACATGAATTATATCTCAATAAAGCTGTTATTTTTTAAAAGCTGTACAGAATCAAAAAGAATAAACAGCCCTGTCGATTTAAGATAGTAATTTCTCTCAAAGGACCTAGTACTGAGGTTTTTCTATCTGCTGTGTTCTATGTAAACATTCTTAGCCTAGTACATAGCTATGGATTTTTTTTTTTTAACTTGGCAGCAAAACATGTCTTTTCTCTTTGTCCCTGGTAGCACTGACTTTTCAGAACGGATTCTTCATGGCAGCAGCAAATATCAACTAAACATCAGAAAGATTTTACCTTTCTTTTCCAAAATATCCTGACAGCACGCTGTTCTTGATCCTTCACCATCACATCCATGGGTTTTTAAGTACTCCTTATTACCTTACAGAAGAATAAGTTACTATTACAGTACCTCTTGCCCCAGTAACAGGCTCCCATTTGTTACTCTTCTTGTCTCCCTATTTATCTTTGAGCAGGCACTTCTGACTCCTTCCAAGTGACTTCACTTAAACCAACAAGTTCAAGTCCACATTGGAAAGCTCCCTATTTTGCCAAAAAAAAAATCCCCCAAAAAACAAAAAAGCAAAACCCTTTCCCCTTCTTAAATCTCAATAAAAAATAAATCCCCACAGAAACGGACATTCTGGAAGTACTCCTAAGTCTCCTCCCTCAAGTTTGCCACAAGCTTCCAGATACTTCCAGAACCACACAGTAGTAAAATGCACTGCTCTCTTGGCTGCTTTACAGTAACTCTTTGGGAAGGCTTCTAGAATACAGCAGATGCAGACACTTCCTCTCCTGGGCTCCTGCCAAAGCACAAGGCTTTTTCAAAATCCTAGGCTGTCTGAAAAGTCTAGAATCTTCTCACTGTTTACACAGACTTCTGCCATAATTTTCTTCATGAATAAATGTTATTTCCAGAAAATACAAATGCTTTTGCTGTACTAACAAAAGGCTAATCAGAAATGTTATCTAAATGTTTAACTCAGATAAGAAAGTTTAGATTTGTCAGGTAAGAGCTTATCATTTTTTCATAGCTAAGATACATTTGTCACTAAAGGTTTTTTGTCATCTTTCATTGTCCTTAAATTTCTCAATGAATCAAGAACCATTCATTAGCCTACAGAAATCACTAAAGTTTGAAAACTGCTTCTAACAATGATAGGCCTTACATAAAATTTCAAAGCATTAATCAAATGAACAATATACCTTTACCTTACATCCTGCTGCAAAATAAATTCTAGATGGATCAAAGAGCTATTATTAACAAAAAATAACAAAAAGAAAAGTTACTAGATCTCTAAAAAGAGAAATGAATCTCTAAACTTTAAAAATGATAAAACAAGTAATCTATCAAAAGCCAGATGGAATTCAAATACAAAGAATAATCTAGGCTTATATGTGTTTTTAAAAAACCCTATGAAAGGGGTGCCCGGGTGGCTCAGTCAGTTAAGTGTCTTTACTCCTGATTTTGGATCAGGTCACGATCTCAGGGTCCTGAGATTGAGCCCTGTGTCAGGCTCTGTGCTGAGAGAATGGAGCCTGCTTGAGATTCTCCCTCTCCCTAATCTGTCTTCTCATTCACACATAGTACACATGCTCTCTCCCACAAAAAAGCAAACAAAACAAAATTTTTAAAAATCCTATAAACTATAAACTAGGAAACTAAAGAAAATAGAGCTCCTATAAATCAGTAAGAAAACCACTAAGATATTAACAGAAAAGTAGATTAAGAATACAGAAAGTCACAAAAGAACTAAAAATAATTTTAAGAGTTCAGTTATCAAGGATCCATTTTTTTGTCCTTCAAATGAACGATTAAATTTAACAAATTCACAAATATCTAATGATGATGCTATATATGTCAAGGAACTTAAAATGAGTATATGCTGTAACTTGTGAATTTAAATTAAAACACAAAATTTAAAAATTAAGAAACATTCATTGGTAAAATGGTATAAGCCATCTTGGAAGATGGTTTGGCAGTTTCTTAAAAAAGTCAGACATACTTTTACCATACAATCTGGCAGTTGTTCTCCTTTGTATTTACCCAAAAAACTTGAAAACTTAGTTCCACACAAAAATGTGCACATGAATATTTATAGATTTCTTCATAATGACTAAAACTTGGAAACAACCAAAATGTCCTTCAAGGTAAATGGATAAATAAACTGGTACATCCAATGAATTATTATCAATGCTAAAAGGAAATGAGCTATCAGGCCATGAAAAGACATGGAGGAATTTTAAATGCATATTTCTAAGTTGAAAAAAAAAAAAAAAAACAGGGATACCTGGGTGGCTCAGCCTTTGGCTCAGGACATGATCCCAGAGACCTGGCATCGAGTCCCGCATCAGGCTTCCTGCATGGAGCCTCCTTCTCCTCCCTCTTCCTGTGTCTGACTCCCTCTCTGTGTCTCTCATGAATAAATAAATAAATAATCTTTAAAAGAAAAAAAGAAAAAGAAAAAAACAATCTGAAAAGGCTATGTATTGTATGATTCCAACAAAAGATATTTTAGAAAAAGCAAAACTATGAAAATAGTAAAAAGATCAGTAGATGGGAAGTGGAGGATGAAGAGATGGAGTACAGAAGATTTTTAGGGCAGTGAAAATACTCTGTATGATATCATAATGATACATACATCATTTATTTTTGGACATACATTTGTTCAAACCCACAGAATACACAATGCCAAAAGTGAATGGATAACATAAACTATGTATGGGCTTTGGGTAATTAGGATGTGTCAATATAGAATCATCAGTTATAACAAATGTACCACTCTGGTGGGGGATGTTGAGGCTATCCATGTGTGAGGGCAGAAAGTAAATGGGAAATCTCTGCACCATCCTCTCAATTTTGCTGTGAACCTCAAATTGCTTTTAAAAAAAAAAAAAAAAGTCTTGGGATCCCTGGGTGGCTCAGCAGTTTAGCACCTGCCTTCGGCCCAGGGCATGATCCTGGAGTCCGGGGATCAAGCCCCACATCAGGCTCCCTGCATGGAGCCTGCTTCTCCCTCTGCCTATGTCTGTCTATCTGTCTCTCATGAATAAACAAATAAAATCTTTTAAAAATAAATAAATAAATAATAAAGTCTTGGGGTGGGATGCCTGGGTGGCTCAGTGGTTGAGCATCTACCTTTGGCTCAGAGTATGATCCTTGAGTCCTGGGATCGAGTCCCACAGGACTCCCTGTGGGAGCCTGCTTCTCCCTCTGCCTATGTCTCTGCCTCTTTCTCTGTGTCTCTCATGAATAAATAAAATCTTAAAAAATAAAATAAAGTCTTGGGGTGCCTAGGTGGCTTGATCAGTTAAGTGGCTGCCTTCAGCTCAGGTCATGATCTGAAGGTCCTGGGATGGAGCCCTACATCGGGCACCCTGCTTCTCCCTCTCCATCGCTTGTGTTCTCTTGCATATACACACACTCTCTCTCTCTCTCTCTCTCTCTCAAATAAGCAAATAAATAATGGTTCAAAAAATAATAAAAATTAAAAATTAAGTCTTAATTTATTAACTATAATTAGTCTTAATAAATTAACATCCTACAACCGTGATGGAATCTGTATTGAATGAGATTACGTTTCCTCTACTCCAAAATTCAGAAATAAATACTGATAAAAAGAAAAAAATTATAATAACTATGCATAAAAATATACAGAGGAAACTCATCAGAATGTAGTTATTCCTGGAAAGCAGAACATTAGGTAATTTTTTCTATTTCTTTGTATTTTCCAGATGTCCTAGGGTATATTTACTTTTATAGTGACAAGAAAGTTAACTCTATACAAAATAATAAACCTACA